ATAGATAGATAGATAGATAGATAGATAGATAGATAGATAGATAGATAGATAGATAGATAGATAGATAGATAGATAGATAGATAGATAGATGTTTTTTTTGTAAATTAGTCCTTTATTTATCCAGGTAAAAAATCTCATTGAAATTTAAAATCGCATTTCCAAGAGAGACCTGGCAAGGTCAGGTATAGTCAGAAATGTTATATAAGACACAATGACTGAAAAGCAAACCAGTTAACAGTCGAAATGGAAAAGTGTTGACCAGTCATGGTATTGTGTTGATGCATGTGCTCAGTAGAGATGACCATTTGTGAAACTGGTAGTACCAGCAGTACTTTCAGAGGGAATCCACATTTTGAACCTTATTTTAAAATCACTGTAAAATCGCTGGGACTGTACACGTGCAGTTTTCATGTCCCGTGAACATTAAAAGCTATGACTCTGTTCAGTTAGATAAGGGCATTGAAATAATTTTTTGTTAGAACTAAGAGGTTAAATTGTGGGAATATCTTTCAGCATTAATGGGGCCTCCACAAATATGAATGGTTAATGAATTGTAATGACATGGTAACGCTTTTTGTACTCCTACAAACTCAAAGGGCTACGAGCCACATTTCAACCATACATTGTGCTCTCTATAGGTTATTGCCCCACATTTACAACTAATTTAGACTCAGAAGTTAAGCTAACACATCTTTAGACTGTGGGAAGAAGCTGAAGTAACTGGAGGAAAGCCACACAGGGAGAACCTGGAAACTCTACACAGAAGAGTCCCAAGCTGGGACACGAACCAGGAACCTACTTGCTGTGAGATGACAGCAAATGCAGAGAGGCAGCATTTGGTTTATTCTGCTTCCTTTATTTCTTCACAGGGTGAAGTTTTAATTTGCACTTGTGGACACAGAGACAACCCGTATTCACTGACTGTGGTTTTTCAGAAAAGCCCTGCGACAGACTGGCGACCTGTCCAGGGTTTTTCCTCCACCCCTCACCCAGTGACAACTGAGACAGAGGCAGGGGGCAGGGTACTCGTGTCTGAATCGGATAAACGATTCATCAAATGGATAGATGGTTTTCACTATAGGATGCTAAACAGTGTTTCCTGAGAACCATTTTCTTTGTGTAAAGAGGGTGTTTTTTTTTTGTTTTCTTTTAATGAAACACAAATTCTACTCTTAAATCACTGAACTGTACACACACGGACACACAGAGTGGCAAGCTTCACAGTGGTGACTCGATGGTCTGGTGGTAGCACTGTTGTCGTACATCAAGGCCTTTACATGCCTTCCCCATGTCTGTGTGGGTATTTCAAGCTGCATGCCTGCTGGGGCAGGCTCTCGCCCCTATTGCCTAAGTAGAAGAAAATGAATGGGTGGAATACTCAGCCTCTTTGGGATGTTCCTGTTTGTTGCTATCATGCTACTGACCTGTTACCAAATCATCTTATTAGCCGCAGCACACTCCACATAGTGTTTTACACAGCATCCTTTTGCTGACCCTCGCTCTACTTCTTTGAAACATGCTCCTGGGATCAAATTTGTAATTATATGCTTCCAATAATGCTTCATTTTCTCAGTTTCAACATTTGGTAAGTTGTCTTTGGACTGTCTGGGCCTATAACTGGAGAATTATTCCAGTCTCTTTTATGCTATACACAGCATCTCTTACATTGTGAATTCAGTATTATCTGTGAGGATTTAACAAGAAAAATTAGAATATGGTATATCCTCATCCTTTCATTCTCAATGAAAAATCCACTAACTGTGGACTTGTTTTCTTCCCATAACTGCCAGCAAGTACAGTGGAAACAGCAGAAACCACATTGCAGCTTCATTATGTGTATTCTTTATGCTTTAGCACAACCTGGCTGCAGGTTTTCTGTGTGTCAGTTATCAAATCTGTGAGCCATCAGTGTGTACAATTTGATCAAAATCTATCTTATAACAATGATAACATGCTCCTGTAAACAATATGGAACAAATTCTGCAGCTCCAAAGAACATTAATCTCAGCATCTCCTCATGCCTGGAAAGTGAAGGCAACACTTTGAAGATTTCAACAAAGAAACTCTAACAACCTTTCTTGAGCAGAAGAAATGCACATTTAAATTTTTATTACATAGTTTGGTAATTTGACAAATAACCAAATAGCTTTGTGGGTTTCTCCAAACTCTTTAATTAGGACAACAAAAACAAGAGAAATAAATCCTACATATTCTAACATTTTAAGACTTTTTAAATCGAGGAAGAAGACACATTAAGGAGTTATGAAAATCTAACCTGGAGTTTTCATGGACATGCAAGCAGCGATGCTCCAAACATGCAGCCAATGCATGCAGCAAATCAGATTTGGGCCACTTTGAGTGTGTAATAAGAAGGTAGACTTAATGTCCATTAAGAACAGCAGGAATGCCTGTCTGCGATGATGCACTGAGGTCCAAGGTCTCTTCCAGGTTTAATAAAAGAATGAAAAAGAAAACGATGTGTCACAGGCCACAACACCATGAGGTAAAGGTGGTGGAGGCTGCAGCTTTCAGTGTGTTTGTCTGGACTTTCTGTTTATGGTGTGTGTGTGTGTGTGTGTGTGTGTGTGTGTGTGTGTGTGTGTGTGTGTGTGTGTGTGTGTGTGTGTGTGTGTGTGTGGGTATACTGTAGGTAAGCTGAGCCAAAGAGACGCTGACTGTGTTGAATCTCGGCAGCAGAGCAGCTCCAGACGCCAGAGACACGCTGCACCTCTCTCTCCCTCTCTCTCTCAATTCACTCGCTTTGTTTCTCAGATGCAGCTCAGATGGACTCTGCCTTGATGTATGGAAAGAAAAGCCCACTGAGTAGTCATGGTGATATCTCTCTCTTCCTCATACACACACAGAGAGAGAGAGAGCACGCCTTCATTCCTCTGCACACACCCCACAATCCCACTACGTGTGTGTGCGTGTGCGTGTTATAAGCAGAAAATACACTCTGACTCTCGGTGAAGTGACGGCTGTCACGCTGCTCCCAGTTTTCCCTGACTCAGCAAAAACAGGAAGGAGGAGGAGAGTGATGGAGAGGCTGAAAGGTGGCAGAGGATAGGGAGCGAAAAAGGAAAGATATTAAGAGAAACGCTGGGTTTGAACTGATCGGTGAGAGTTGAAAAAAAAGACTGTAAATGAATTCGTTTCTGAATTGGGGAAGCGGAGAAATGATGGACTCTGACATGAGGTACACAGTATATGACAGCAGTGAGAGCACGTGTTCAGGTGGAATTTGCAGAAATGACTGTTAAGAATAACTAATGAACTGACAAGTTAGTGTATGAGCGTGCGACAAAATGCGAGCAAGAAGGTTGAATGCTCGTAATTCTATTCATGACGGAAGGTTAAAGTCCTGCGCTGCAAAGAACGGAACAAGTGAAAATAGATTTTAAGCAGTAAGACTCTTCAGAAAGAAAAACTAAGAAGCGCTCCATGTCCCTGTTCAGTCGTTTGACTCACGCACAAAAACACACAACGACTGGGTAACGATTGCTTTCAGGTGCTGTTATGAGCTACAGTGAAATGTGAAGCTATTAGATTTTTACTGTTTTAGGTGTTTGAAATCCAAAAATGACAAAGTGTCACACCTAAAGCTTGGTGTGATCTTGACAGTGCAGGGAAAAAACTTTTAAAATTCAATAAATCATAAAGTGTGCGTCCATGCGAACAGGTACAACCGAATGTTTAAAGATGAAGCTGCAGATCCAGATGGGCGATTTTCATGCCTCCAGCATTCTACAGGTCTTTACTGTGTGGATCCCCCCCCCCCCCACACACACACACACACACACGAGAGAGAGAGAGAGAGAGAGAGAGAGAGAGAGAGAGAGAGAGAGAGTTATGATATGTCTTTGAAGTGAGCCGATACCCAGCGGGCCTGACGGCCGTGTCGCATCAGCACCAACGCGGGCTGGCATGTGTCTAAACCCATGGTGATTCCACCCTGAGAGGAGAAAAGACCACTTAATGCTGCTTAGTGCGCGCGCAAACGTACGCACGCGCAGACACATAAACGTACACAAACGTCGTGGACATCCCGGGTATCTGGGAAAGCTGCCCTGTGGACGCGCTCAAAACACAGTGAGTGAGAAAGAGTCGTTGGCGAGGATCAGAGACCCCGGCTTCATCCATCCGTCACCGGCTGAGCAGGAGCGCGGAGGCCCGCTGACAGGCGACCAGAGCCGGTGCAGCAGAGCGGAGGAAAGGAAGAGGGTGGCCTCTCTCAGCCAGCCACTCTCTCTCTCTCTCTCTCTCTCTCCCTCTCTCTCCCTCTCTCTCACGCACACACACAAAGAATCTGGAAGTCTGGACCCTGATGCAGGAGATAAGAGCAGCTTTCTGCGTCCACAAGGCTCTGCGTGATCGGACAAACCAGAGCAGAGCGGCGCTCCTGAAAAACACCGAAGTGCAATTATGGAACGATTCATAAAAGTTACACGACTGAAATTGTGTAAAACGTTTCCGACTTTACCCTTGAAAATATAAGTAGGTAATAATAATAATAATAATAATAATAATAATAATAATAATAATAATAATAATAATAATAATAGTTCCAGCACGAATATAGCGCCAACTTTGCTTTTATATTATGCGTTTTTCCTCTTTATTTATTTTTTTTATTTAAAAAATCATTTATTGTATTTATTTTTTCTTTCTTAATTTCCATTAAATTTTTTAATATTTAATTGTTCAATATTTAATTATCTAACATTTTTCTATTATAGTTTAAGCGGCTGTAAATATTTCGACATTGTTATTAAATCGTTCAGCTCTTTTGCTGCTCTTTCGCTAATTAGAGACTTTGGTCACATTTAATAACCCGCAATCGAACATTATTATTTTACAAACACGGACATTGTGACCTGAGAAAAATAAAACCTTGCTAGACTTCTGACCGTTTTATAAATAATTCATAAATCTCTTTTTTTTCTTATAGGACATAAAAGCTGTTGTTAGAGAATGATGGCAGCGGCAGTCACTGGCACGGATTTGGGACAGAACTTTTTATTAAACATTATGAAAACAAGATTCTCAACAACGTTCCACTTTGTATGGTTTTCACTTGTTGACAGTCAGGACACGTTCATTGAATAAATATAGAAATCATATGTACAGATATAAATTTACAGCACTGTGCAGAAGTTGTTTTGCATTTATTCCCCGCGTTCTTTAACTTCACATTTTTTGAAGCTCTTGTTGCTTTCGGTAAATATGAGAAAAATTGAGATTTACACAAAAGACAAAAAAAATCTAATTAAAATAAGAAAGATAGGTGGATAGAATCTGATGTTTGTCTACATACTGGAAATGCTTAATTTGTTAATAATTCGCAAGAATCGACTTGTATTGTATATCTCCCCTTTTTTGGTTCCCATAAAAAGATACAAAATTGGAAGAATCACATTTTTCTCAGTTTTCTCTTCAGCTTGTTGTTGTTTTGCCCTGACATCCTGATCAAACACTTCCAGTCTCTCTCCCTGCACGGTTCGCCCTCCAACAGGTAGTCTGTGCATCGGGCACTTCTGCACAATATTGCACATATATCTATGTAGCAGGAACCAGGGGTTTCTTGTTGACAGAATAATGCATGGAGTTACTCCAAGAACAGGAAGCTCTACCATCAGACTTTTCTATTAGCGCTCATTAAGACTGCAGTTTAAACCCACAGCCCCTGCAAGACGTTTGATTACAATATTAAACGTAAAAAAGGAAAGAAAAGAAACATAAAAGAAACCCTAAGTCTTTTTTAATCGTCGGGTTGGTGCATAGAATTTTAGCAGCGAATGCAGTCCATGTAATAACCGAGGGTTTCCCTCTCACAGAATTTACATCCAGGGTTGTTTTTTTTTAAACAGATCAAAAGGTCCTATGAGTAGAAAACAAAATGTCCAGTTTGATCTCTTCTTAGTGCAGTTTAACATTACACATGTTCAGTAGAAGGAGGACGAGGATATCATAGACGATTTGCATGCTGTTACATACAAACATTTGTATTTAAGACATTTCGAAGAATCCAAGCAACAAAAAGCAAGTTGTTGTTTTAAAAAGAGAGAAAGAGGGAGAGGGTAAAATAACACAGGTTACTGCTTTTCTCTACACAGTATGTACAGGTGGAAATAAATACAGTCTAAAATCTGGCTCAGTTAATCTCTTTTTGTCGTGTTTTTTTTCTTTTTCTTTTTTAAAACAATAGAAAAATTGATTGAAAATAGCAGTTAAAGACGCATCCAGTTTTTACGCACTACAGCAGATTGTTCTCCATTTTTTTCTCTCCTTGTACCTCTCGGGGTGTAGGATGGAAGAGGGGGTCATTGGCTTTTTATTTTTCCGCATACCCAGGCCTTACTGATGGCAGAGAAAGAGGAGGAAGAGGAGATGCGAACCGTGGGCCATGCTTTCCATACACGTGGAAGATTCGGGGAGAGGTTACCATACATGTCCTGCATGCAGGGTTGCAAATGGGGATGGGGGGATTATTAGACTTGCATTATTGAAAAGTCTCTGCATTACAGGCTTATAAACAGTCTTTCTTCGCCGGTGGTGTATTGCTTCTTCTTTTCAGTTCATTCAGACTTTTCCCCCTTTAAACAGAACACATTTGCCTCGTTTTTAAGACCAACCCCGCTGCTCTCTCTGAGTTAAGACAGTCACGTGTCATATTAGTTCAGTAAGACTCGTGATTAGCTTCTGCTGCACCGGAGGATACACAAATAAAAGTCTACAGGCTAACAGTGATCCCAAGTGCCCACCTGACAGGCTGCGGCATTCTTACAGAAGTTTCGCCTAAACATGTTTAAGACTGAAAATCGCGTCCGTGCACGGCTACTGCTTAAGTCTTGTGAGTGGAGGAAAAAAGTGTAAACAAAATAGAAAAGAAGAACAAACGTGAATGAATGTCTGCGTGAGGCGCTACAGGTCAGCAGCCCCTCTCACATGAAGAACTCGGCGTTAGCTTGTTTCCCGGACGGATCTCTCGTGTTCGCGGGTCCGCCGGCATTGTAGGTCCGGCTGGCCAGCTTCTCGTACTTCTCCTTGTATAGATCCCTCTCCTTGACCAGGCGCGCCACGTCCTGCTTCAGCTGTTCCACCTGGTTCTGCAGGGTGCACTTTTCGGTCTCCAGCATGTGCCTCTGCTGCACGCGCTTGAAGCGGCAGGACTGCGCGTAGCCGCGGTTCTTGAGCGTGCGCCTCTTCTGCTTCAGGCGGATCACCTCCTCTTTGCTGAAGCCTCGGAGCTGCCGGTTCAGCTCCCGCACTGTCATGCTGACCAACTGCTCGTCCGAGAAGCGATCTTCGAGGCGGGCGTGGTGGCCGTGGTGGTGGTGGTGGTGGTGGTGATGCGCTTGGTGATGGTGGGCCGCCGAGGCCGCGGAGAGGTCCTCGCCAACGTACTGCTGCCCGCGGAAACCCTCGTAGGTCTGGTGGTGGTGGTGGTGGTGCGCGTTGCCGATGAGGGCCTCCACCGCGTCCTCCGGCGTCAGGTTGAGCGCCTCCGGATTGATGTGGTGCTGGTAGCTGGGGATCCAGTACAGGTCCTCCAGCTGGGGCTTCCCCCCGGTGCTGTGATTGTTGTTGCCGCCGCTGTTGTTGCTGCTGCCGTTGCTGCTGACGCCGCTGGCGAGGCCCTGGTTCGGCTGCGCGCCCGGGCTCGGGGCGCAGAAGCTGGGCGAAGAAGGCACGGAGGAACAAGGGGTGCTAATCGGGGTGGAGGAGAGGGAGCCCGACGGGAGGCGGTGGCAGTAGCGGTCGGCCTCCGGCGGCTCCTTCTTGACCTCGAACTTCATCAGGTCAAAGTCGTTGACATACTCGATGGCCAGAGGGCTGTTGGGCAGCTCTGCGCTCATGGCGAGGTCGGTGGCCATGTCAGTCCATGCGACGACTCCTGCCCTCACAGCCAAACCGACGGCGGGCAGTCCTCTCGGATACAGATTGTGGAGAGGGATAAAAGGTTGTATGGTGTATAAATAGACACACGCACACGCCCGGTGCGTGGGGCTACTGCAGGGCCAGCAAGCGGGTAGAAAACTTATTAAGGTTGTTTGTCCCTAAGTAACTTCTATTTATAGTGGCGTGAATATACCTCTGCATGTAAATGAACTTGTACACCTGCCAGTTCGCCTCCGCTCCCTGCTCTTGTTGACAACTTATCCCAGGTCAAATGCACGCTTTAATACCAGGAGCCCCCCCCCCGGGGTGCTTGAAACTCGAGCCCAGTGAATTTGGAACCACCAACCTGTCCTGTCCTCGCTTCACCTCTGCAGCCCACTTGCCTCCCTGTGATTTACAGTCCTCGGTTCTGCTCGATCGAGTGACAGGAACAGATCTCTTCTCCTCCGCTCTCCGGCCGTATTAGAAATATTTTCCAAGCATCCCTCCTCCGCTGTTTACAAGTTGATCGCGAGCTCCTGTAGGCTGCTGGCTCGAGTCACTGCAGCATGGCCCGGACTTAAAGTTTTTTCTCATACAGTCACATCTAGCAGTGTGGCGCTGGGAGCTGCTCGGGGTTGCGAGTAAAAATAAAAAAATAAAAAATAAAGATTTACCAAAAAGTCCCAGGAATCCACAAGCCGGTATGGCACGCGTGCGGATGGTTACAGAGCCCGTGGGATTCAGATGAAGTTGCAAACAGTTCTCTTACTTGCAGGGACAGGAGGAGGCTTGTCCCTGGTTCTTGTGGTCAGTCCATTTATGAATTTAAACAGCCTACTTACAGGCTCGGTCCCCTCGGTGCTGCCCCCCCTCCTCTCTCTCTCTCGCTGGGTCGCACTTTTGACCTTTCGTGTGGAATTTTATACAAGAGGTGATAAATTCCAGCTGTTTTGTGTCTGACGGCCCTCACAGAGCTCCTCACAGCAACAACGCAGTGTAACTGAGTCGCTGGAAGGCACTCTGCACTTATAAAGACAGCGTGGCCCCCACGACCCTCCCACACGGAGGTGCGACGGGCCAATGAGGAGGAGCTGGCAGCCGCGCATTTGCATTCTCCTATAAGGGAAGAGCCTCCCAATTGTCTAGCAGCGGCCGGCCGAGGATAGCCGAATGCAGCCGAAGGGCGGTGGGTGGGGTGGGGGGGGACACGAAGGGGAGAACAGGTGCAGCAGATCCCCCCCTCTAGTGACCGAGCAAACGCTACTGCACGGAAGAGCGCACGGAGTAAGAGGAGAACTACCGGAGTTTCTCGGAGGGAAACATGTTTACTCAGAAAGGAGAAAGACTTGTGAGCGAAGCGGTCTGTGATGTAAAGAGGCTGCTGAGAGTCCCAGCAAGGAGAACGACCTCCACCTCTTTCATTTCTGATATCTACATCCTGCAAACATGCAGCAACTGTATGGAGGTCTGTTTCACCCCCTTATAGGCGGGGAGCTCCTGTAATGATACCCGTTTTACACTTTTTACATTTGAGCTTCATGAATGTAAGAAGGTGTGTGTGTTACTGTTTCCCCGGGATCACTATATAATCATTTATAGAATTTGACAGCCAGTACTTTTACGGAGTTCATAAATCCAGTACGAATCGATTACAATTCGTGACTATTTCACGAACTGCCTTAAGACCGGGAATATACCCGGTAAAAAAAAAAAAAAAAAAAAAAGAAATATATATATATATATATATATATATATATATATATATATATATATATATATATATATATATATAGGCCACGTGGAACAACATAGTTCTTAAAAAAGGTAGTAAAAGAAAGGACAAGCGGAGAAATCCAGCTAAACTACGGATTAAGTAGTAGTACAAGTAATAAAAGAAATTAAAAAAAATAAAGCAAAGAGAGAATTTCAAACTGCTACTGGAATAATAATAATAATTTAAGAAAAAAAGTCCAGGTTTAAGTGTGGGAGCGCACATCAAACGCATAAAACAATGAGAAGAATGTATTAGACCCACTTTCCATTTCCAGATCCCGGACACACCACACACATCCAAATCTATCAATCACCGATCGATTTAAGGCCGCGCGCCCCTTTGCCAAAAAGGAAAATCAATCCGCGTTTCCGCAGGTCCACGAGGAGGCCGCGGAGTATCTGCGCGCGGGGTTAAGTAAGATTGGACAGGCTCTATTTTCATTCGCAATTAAGCACAAATTGCATCATCTCAGCTCATCTCCGCAGATCCACGCATAATTAAACCCTGCGCGCGTCTCCATCTGGGACGCATAAGTCTTTTTTTGTATTATTAATTCGGCGGGGGTATAACAGCAAGGCTGAGCAGGATGAGATGTCGATAAGCATCATGGGAATAGGACTTAAACGGAGCATCGCTGCACCTGACCCGCTTAGCCTCCTCAGCAGTGGCCGCATCCCAGAGGACCATCTCACCGACACTTGAGTGATACATGTGCGGGAGAAAGTGCCGATCTGCGGGAAAAACAGGTGGCAGTAAGTTTAACTTGGTCAGATGTGAAAAGCAAAACCTTGCACAGCTGCTGAGCTTAACTTCCAGTCCGAAGCGGCCATGAAATACGCGCCCCCTCTGCCTCAAATCTGCTGGCAACGATGAAAAGAAGAGTGTGAGATGAAGGGACGGAAATCATATCAAGGTATTTCAAGTTTAGGTGTGCTAAGTCATTATTAGAGGGTTTAAAAAAAATCTAATAAGCAGGAGCTGGCCCTCAAACGCCAAGCTAAGCAGTCTGCATAGAAATAGCGCATTTAAGAAGATCTGCTGTGTCCATTCATTGTCAGGGGAAGGGGAGTGTCTGCGGCCGAGGGCTTGAGACATAAATTTTTGAAGTCAGGGTTTTCATTGTGTCTTTGCATACTGGGACTTCGCTGCAAGTGCAGTTCTACCGATTTAAGCAAAATGGACATCAGCAAGGTGGTGGATCTATGAGGATCACTTTGAGCCAAGGTAGCCAGCATCCAGACCAGCTCCGGGAGGTGGCTGAGGGTTATCTGAGGCCTTTGGGGGTTTTGTCACTAATGCCGCTGCAGAGGAATCAGATTTAATTGTGCAAGGAAAGGATATGACACACACGCACACATGCATGAGCATTAAGAGTGAAGTTGATAGGGGGCTTACTTTAGACAGCAAGTTTTGCCACATTTCCAAGGCCTGGCATGTATAGAAATCATGTTTGTTCTCCACGGCGATGAAAAGGACTCAAAGAAGCAGAACAGCAATTCAAACAACACACACATCTGTTTTGCTCTGAATTTCAGCTCAGTGCGAGACTTGACACCGTGCCATCACTGAGTCCACAGACACTCGTAGAAAGACCAAATCACACAACACAACTGTTCCCACCAGCATGCACATTCTTATGGCTGCTGTCCGAACAAGCGAGTGAACTCAGCACACTAAGAAATCCATTAGCGATGATCACAGAAACTTTGGGAAAAGAGAAACTCTAGTTTTCCTGTGGAAGAAATTCAGAAACATTCAGTTTGCTAAATGCATTGTGTGAAAAATGGAAAGACACCAAGGAAAGGAAAGCTAAATTAGGATGAGGTGCTGGATGGAGGGATGAAGGTGACAGAGTGTCAACTTCAGAGGGAGTTCAGTACCAGCAAACTGCATTTATTTAAGTAATTTGTTTTTATCAGTTTTGGCTTTTTGTTGTTAAAGTTTAATTATTATACCTAAGAAAATGTAAAATTAATTGAGAGTTAAAGGGGTAAAAGATGTTGAAATTTACTTTATATATTTATACTTTATATAGTTTTCTTATATTGAGTTATGTTTAATTTTGTCTAAACACAGTAAAATTCTGCTCTTGCTTCATTTATAATTTCTACTTTAATATTTAAAGTAAAAAAAACAAAAACAAACATTTCTCTTGTGGCAAATCCAAACACTCATTAGAGTTGTGTGGCAGAGAACAAGCATACCATATCTTGTCTGGTTTTCTTTTGTTTTGGTGAGTCGACTTCTTAAATTCTATAGTGACATTTTTTGGGTGGCGGAGACAGGTGACTGTGAAAACCTTCAGCAACAATAACTTGAAGTAATTTTTTTCTGTTTGACTTTATGAGTCTCTCACATCATTGTGTCAAACAGAATGGCAGTGCAGGAATTTTGGCCCAATCTTCGTTATAACATTGCTTCAGTTCATTGCGGTTTGTGGGCATTCATTTATGAATGCCCACAAACTAAGCTTTGGCTGCTGAACAGATGTCCTCACAATTGACTCTAGAGTATTTTGGTATGCAGAAGCGTTCATAGTCGATTAAATCACTGTAAGTTGCCCAAATACGGTGGCTGCAAAACAAGCCTAAATCATCAAGCCTCCTCCACCGTGTTTGCTGTATGATACGGTGCTGGTATGAAGTGTTTTTGCGGATGAGCTGTGCTATGGTTTGATTTTTGCATTTTGTTCAGGTGCAACTTTGCAATGTAAAGCTGTGCTGCCATGACCTTTTTATCCTGGCAGCTTTTCCAAACAAGAGCTCCTAGGAAGAATGGACATCCCAGCATCCCAGCAAATGATTGTAGCAAGATGTCAATTAAGTTATCTTTATATAGCCCCAAATCACAACAACAGTTGCCTGAATGTGCTTTATTGTAAGGTAAAAACCCTACAATAATACAGAGAAAATCCCAACATTCAGATGATGCCCTATGAGCAAGTGCTTGGCAACAGTAGAAAGGAAAAACTGCCTTTTAACAGGAAGAAACCTCTAGCAGAACCATGTTAATGGCTGTGCCATGTTCATGCATGCTCAATAATCCAGGTAAAGAAATCCCAGAAAGTTGATTCTGTTCATCTGGATGCAGAATTTTGAGTGGAATGAATGTTCATCACTCTTCCAAATGATGTCTTCAGTCTAATCTGACTGCAGGTTTCCCCAAAAGAATAAGCAGTACAGATGGATGAGGATAAATGACAGTGATAAATCTCACTAACTTTGATGTAAGGAAATGGAAGCTTTGTTACAGAAGATACAAAAACATTTTTGGACTCTATACATAGCTACTCCCTTCATAAAAAATGTACAATAGTTGATTTTGGATTTGCAATAAAAAGCGAAGCTACTTTAATTTACAGGCGTGCCAGTTGCTCTCTGCTAGTCACTCCATCTGCCAGTTTGAGGTTGAAGTTTGCTACCATTAGCTAGTAATTAGAGCTCCACCCTCTTATCTAAATATGCTTAATTCTGTCTCCAAGAAAACAACCACAGGAGAGGCCAAAAAATTGTGTGATGTCACAATGATTACATGATTCCATCTTTTATACAGTTTATGGCGTTGAAACAAGCAACATCTCTGCTCATCCCACCAGAGCTAACACCAATCTAATTCATGTTATGGATATAGTAAATGGACTGATTCTTATATAGCACTTGTTTAAACCCAACAAATGACAAACAAGTACAATTACTTTTGCTTACCACTCAGTTGTCATATCAGTGTGTATGTGACATTTCACTTTTAATGGCCAGTTTGACTGGATTAGGCACACCTTTAGCGTACTGTTAGCGTACTGTTCAGGCTGCAGTGCATGTGTTACTGTAGCTCAGGATTCCATGTCTGTCTAAACACATGTATACAATTGCAATATATTTTAATATTTTGTGTATTCATATATCTGTCCATGTCTCATGATCTATCTGGCTTGTTCCTGTAATCGTACAAGAACAGCCACGCAGCTTTCCTTTTTGACAGCTCAACCTGTCGGTCCATCCAGTGATGATGTTGTTATAGTAACAGGGCATAGAAACTTAAACTAAACAGCAAAACCCCAGAAGAAAAATAAATAGGATTTTTAGAACCCTTGAGCACTTTCTCACAAGCCAGTTCTGTCAAATCTCCAACACACACTCTCACACAAACACACACCCGATGAAGGATCACAGTTGACCTTTCTTTTTGTCTCTTCGAGTCTCCATGGA